ATTCTTGTACATATGTATGAATATATGTGCATACATATTTTAATATGTACAGACATTGACATATATACCCTGCAGTGCAAAACCAAACCAGCCAGAAAAATACCAGTTCATTAACTAGTATGAGCTAAAGCGACAATTTCGAATAACTCATACGTTCAGCAACATCTGCCTTTGAATTGTCAAAGTAAAAAATCTAGATCTAGAATGCTACCAGTTTGCGTTTCATAAATAGTAGCTTTCCCTGCAGGGTATTTACATTAGGGTGGTACAAAAACAGTAAAGTCGGAATTCTATATCGAAAAAGAGGATACCCCTATTTTTTATTTTGAAATCAAAAAATATTTAGAGGTCGCTCAAAGCGCTCAAAGTTTTACATGTATTTTTATATACCTCCCATACAAATGTAACCTTAAAGACGCCTTAAAAATTCCATAATGGGCATACGGATGAATTCATATTTAACTTAAATTTTGTTCATACATATGTTTACAATAATATTATAAGAAAATACCGAAAATGTTAGCGTAATGGGATTATTTTAACGCATACCTCCAATGCAAACCTAACCTCAAAACTCCTTAAAAATTTCATAAAAAGCACACGGTTTAAACTCGTAAAAGGCTCGTACAGCACGTCAATTTACGAGCCTCATAAAAGAACTGTCAAAATTTGTATGGACCTCTATTTACGAGCGTCGCGTAAATTTACGAGGCAAATTTGATGCGCAAACGACCTCGTAAACTGCAGTGTTGCCGAGGGGCCGAAGGTTTTATACTAAAATTAATGACAAAATACTGAAAACAAATGAAAAAATAAAAGGTGAATAAAATTAATAAATTTCATCGACTAACTGTATTTACATGGGTTTTTTTGCTAACTCTCGCATTTATAATTATATTTTAGCTTTCATTCGAGCTGACGGGCTGTTACAAAATACTACGAAACAAAAATGTATTCACAAAACCCTTTTCAACCTGTCAAACAGTAATTTACGCATCTATTTACACATTTACGAAAGGGGGTCGCTCCCGTGGCAGCCTCGTAAGCTTACGAGTTTTACACAGTTTAAGACTTTAGGAGTTTAAGGGAATCCCCTAGCTGTATCAGGACACAAAGGTCGTTGACCAAGAAAGTCAATTAGCAACAAGAGTTTACGGGATGTACATAGCTCAGTGGTTAACGCTTCTGACTCTGAACATCGAATTCGCAGGTTCGATCCCTGCTGAAGTCTAGAAAAAG